GTTTATTTAAACAATAACTAATGATTTTAAAAGAGGTTGAAATATGCTTTCAACTCAATAATGTTGCTATAAAATGAAATACCAAATTCTTTCTTCCAGATATATAGAAGTAAAATTGTTATACACAAACTGTACGTAATGAGTGGATACAATTTGGCAAGTATGCACTTATACATCACTCTTGTTACCACAACCAACATCCAGGTGACAGCACATCCATCACCTCCAAAAAGTTCCCTATGTCCCTTCGCTGTTGTTGTCAGAGCCCCTAAGATCTACCCTCTTAACAAATCGTTAAGTGCACAATATCCCATTCTATGTTTTAGAGCCTGTCTCTGCCATTGACTAACTTTATATAGCTTTAACCCTTGAACAAGAACTCCCCATATGCTCTTTCCACACACAATAAAACACCAAACTCTTTTCAAGCACATTCCATATAATCCATTTTATGAAGCTTCTCCCAACATTCTTTTATCTGCTCCCTTTCAGTAAAGGGAACTGCTAATAAATATAACAATTATCTATTTTGGATTATTGTATCTTTTACATATGTTACTGCATGAACCCATTTAACATTTTTTCTCCCATGATGTCACCATGAAGGACTTCATGCACTTCTAGTTCCTACGGTATTGCCTGGCAAACAATAGACGTATAAAGTAGGATCGGTGATGTTGCCTATACATGTAGAAAATAGTAAAGAAAGCAGCTGACAAGAAAGACCTCCTGAGTCTTTGGGAAATAAATCATATTAATCTGCTTTCTCATCCATTGAGATATGACCACATTTATGTACTTTTGTGTCCCTGGAAATTTCCTGTGGGAGACTTAGTTATTCTTTTTCCGTTAGGCTCTACTAACCAAGAACAAATCCCACACCCAGAGAACATCATAAATAGGCGCAGACCCACCATGCCCAGAAACTCCAGGCTCAACCCGCATTGATGCTGGCCCTTCAACCATGAGACTCCATTTGCTTCTCTTTATTCTCCTCCTTTTTTCGATTCTCTTATCCCCAGGTAAGTTGGTAGCTGATTATCATAAAGTTCTGCAGATTAGAAGGCTATGTCCCTGGCCAGACAAGATCCTAGAATGAGTCCTGTGGGTTCAGTAATCTAATATTCACAGCTTTACTAGAATTATAATAGGGAAAAATAGAAAAGAGACTCATTTAGCACTAGTACCTGTGGATAAGTTTCCATCCATGTCTTTTGCCCTAGTGAATGGATATAATAATGGGCGTTGCTGAAATCCAGTCCTGTCAAATCTAACTGCCTACATGTAATTTCCATGCCCCACCAAGGCATCTCAAGATACAATGCAAGGACACAACAGAATGTGACCTCAGTGGGATGCCTTGGTGGGGCATGAAAATTTACATGCAGGCAGTTAGATATGACAGGTCCGAACTTTACAGCTTTGTAATAGTAGATTATTTCTTTAAACAATTGATACATAGCTGCCTAATTATTTATTCACATTACAAATTTCAATACATTTAGTTTTTGAGGGTCCAAATATGCTGTTTATGTTACTAACTTTGATTCATGGTGTCTTGCCTACCGGATCATTTTTAACACTGAACTCATTGCTCATCCTTCATCTGCCATTATTCTATGGTCTAAAACGGGAATACTATTATCCAAACTTCTTCTGTGAAAATGACTCAATGCTTTGTCTCAATATAGGAGCTTCGGGATTAACACACTGGAATTTCTGATGGCCCAAGAGTCAGTAGCACCCCCATTCGCATTGCTGATAATAGCAGATCTTCCCAGAATATCTTCCGGGAAACCCTCACCCACTTCCATCAGCTAGCCAGTACAAAGCGCCCAGTGCGGAAGCTCCAGTTCACAGAGTATTTTTGTGTTTGAAAGAGGGGGTATTTTAAGAACTTGCCTAACCATTTTCAAGGATAGAAATGTTTCAAAGAGATCCTCTAAAATATATTTGTCCCATAGCAGTCGTCATCACTGGAGAGCAGCTAACTTGTAGTCATGGACAAAAGCCTAAATCTTTCTTTCATTCTAATCACACCAACTTTGTATCTTTGGGGCATATCTCAGATTCAGATGCATTGATAATGTTCTATGATTTGGGGCACTACTATAGATTCTTCAAAACATTACATCATTCCAATGGTATTTTGGGAGGTACAGGAGGGAAAAAACAACGGGCTCAAGTCTCCCCTGACTTCTCTTCTTACAGCTTATGGCATTGCCCAAAACTTTTAGAACTATATTAACACAGCATGGACAGTGGGCTTTCTTCTTGTCCTCCTGACTGTAACAGGGCTATTTATAATGAAATCTTTATATGGGTTGTATTCAGACAAATTTTGACTTTGTAAGGGCAATATTTTTCTCATTATTTTTTAAATGTTTACCAGGATGCACTGCTAATATTATTTTCAACTCTCCCCTTTCAACGGCAGATTTAAATAACTTGATGAAGTATTTTAGTATATTACATAGACTATAGTATATAGTAATATATTATATATACTACTCTGCTACAGGAAACAAAAACATCACCACCAAATTATATAGCTATGTACAAAGCAAAACAGCCCTGGGAGGGTTCAAGGGACCATTTAGGAAACCATTGCAACACAGTGGAGAGAGAGGGAGGAAGGGAGGGAAACAGAACAAAACAAAAGAATAGCCACATAGAAAAAGCAGCTGGTGAAATCAGCATACCTGAGATGCCAGAAACATCTTTTTTGGCTAGAAACAAAAAAAAGGAGAAAGAGACTATCTGTATCAGCCACAGGGTGGAAACCACTATGGCCCTCAATAGCCCGTTCTGGCAGAGGACACAGGCATTTTTTGCCACTGGGGTAAGCAGCAGCCATTCCTGACAGAAAACCCAGAGAAAAAGATGAAGATGTACCATCCCCTCTCACATCCATTTTCCACGAAAAATACAATGACTGTTGTGCCAAACCAGGATGGGAACTGCCGCCTCTCTTAAGCTGCATGTGCCTCTGACATGTGAGCAGCAGCCATTGTAAGAGCTCCCACATAAAAATGCTCATACTAAAGTCATTCTGTTTCTTAAGAGTGTTTATGGATTTACATTCTCTTTGTGGACTAAATATCTTGCTGGATCTTCTTTTCTGCAGTAAGAAGTGGTTTGGGTCCTGCTGAAGGTCATTGTCTCAATTTGGGTGGTGTTTGCAGAAGAGATGTCTGCAAAGTAACAGAAGATGAAGTTGGTGCCTGCCGAAGAAGGATGAAGTGCTGTAGAGCATGGTGGATTGCAATGCCAATTCCAACACCAGTTATCATGTCCGATTATCAAGAACCTCTTAAACCGAAGTTGAAATGAAACTGACATAAAAATGCATCAAAAGTGAAGTTTTTGAACATGAAAATATACATATTAAGTACTTCCATCTTGATAACCATCTTGTATTTTCACTTATCAGTGCAAATCAGTAAACATTAATTTCAAATATACCCAAATACTATTCCTTTATGAATCATTAACAGATCTTAACAAACCTTTAAAAGTGAAAAAACTGTTACTTGTGTTTTCCAAGGTAGTGGATTGAAGGCATTTTGTTGGCCTGCCTCTCCCACTTGGAAAGACAAAACGGTGTGTAGACATTCACACTGTGAACTTCTTTCAAGAAACAACACATGAACTTAACAGGAAAACTGAAATCAGCCACAGACCCTTTGAAAGAAGCAGCAGGATGCAGCTTACACCATGAGCCAGCAGAACATTTTAAGTTCCTGGGGTGTTAGATGGGGGTAAACTGACTCTAAGATATACAGTTCCACTGGGGAACCTATCAAACCAGGCCATGGAGGAAGGCCTGAACTCTACCCAGCGCTGGACCTGATTTAGTGAAGAGTGGGGAGTATGTGCAGAGTGGCATTGGGATGTGCTTTGAGTCTCTGTGGGTCTCTGGCAGGATGGAGGGAAGCCATTCCTGATTCTACTTCACAGAGGACCTCCCAGAAGTCTGCCAGCTAACTCAGATGGTGGTCACAGGTTGAGAAAACTTCCCAGCTGAAATTTTTGATATAATCTTGAGTGAGGACAAACTCCCCAGGCCAGAAGCGAGGGGTGAGTGGGTAGTGTGCTGCAGCAGTGAGTAGAGGAGCTGGGTGCCCCTGCTCTGCAGGTGGACCAGGAGGGGTGTGTCCTGAAGGCTGCAATTGCTATATCCATAGGAAAGCTTATGGTATCGTCAGGTTTGAGTTCTGAATGCAGACTTCCTGAAACTTGGCTAGCTACTCCCAATGGAACACTATGGGTGTGAGACCTGCCTTGCCAAGTGTGTGGGAGCTGCATGGAACTTATTGCCAACCTGCTACTCCCGGTTCTTTATATGGACTCTCCTTGTACAGAGGCAGAGGCAGCTTCACTCCTCTCTGGAAGATTACCCCAGTGGCCCAAGAACTGCCCTCCAATTCCCACTGGAGCCACAGCTTGTCCCACATGGAGAGAGCCAGAGCATGGCCTTACCTGATCCAGTTCCCACCTGGCTTTGCTCAACCACCCACCCTGGTAGATTAACACAAGTAACAGAAGAAACTGTTAGGAACTCTATGGCTCCGCCCATTTCCTGACACACTGGAGCACCTCCCATGGGTCACATAAGGCAAGTCCCAATCTCACCACGACCACCGCAGCTGGCAGTCTTTCACAAGTGCCACCTCCTGGCTGAAGGCCAGCTGACACAGTCCATTACCACATCTGCAGTAGAATAACATAGCACCCAGGAAGGAGAAAATTTGTGAGTGGCCACAGCTGTTACCATTGCCTGCATCACTCTGGCTAACCCGGAGGCCCTGAGTCTGTCCATATGATGAGTTCATTACTACTACAACTGGCATTTGAGAAATTCAACACACTAGGGCTATGTGCAACCAAGGAACCCCTCAGAGTCTACATGACTCGCCTGCCACCCCGATCTGATCAGCTGCTGATACACTGCTGGGAGACTAGAGGGCAGATTACATCACTGGATCCGTTGCAGACATTCTCCAGCACTGGCCTCCTGTGTGGCAGCCCCACTGGGTGGCTAGTTCCAGAGGAACAGCAGCATTCACAGTCGTCTGGATTTCAGGGACTCCTACTCCGAGGAAAGAGGAAGTGCACCACATCAAGGAAGCACCCTGGGGAACAAAATAATATGGACAGTCCTGAGTCCCAGAACACTCCACTGTGGGAAGTTGTTAGTTTTTATTTTTGTTTTCCAGCAGAGGAACATGCGCATGCTTGGCTCAGCAAGGAATGTCTGTGGCTATACCCCAGCAGTCGGGCAGCCTTGATGCTCAAGAAGGGTCTTGGAGAACGGAGACTTATTTTCCATCTCATTCACTACTGCAGACACAGCAGTACTGTGCCCAGAGCCAGCACACAGAGGTGAGCAGCCATACAAGCTACGGAGACGCCAGCCAGGGCGGCTAAAGGAATGCTTGCATTACCTCTCCCGCAACCCCAGATAGCACAGCTTGCAGCTCCAGAAGATACCCCTTCCATCTGTTATGGGAGATTAGAAGAAAGAATGAAAAGGACCTTGTCTTGCATCTTGGAGGTCGGCTGAGCCACAGCAGGACAGGGCACTGATCAGCGTCATGAGGTCATGAGGTTCCCATTGCAGACACTTGCTCCTGGATGACACTTCTAGACACTTCCTGGGCCAGAAAGAAACCTGCTGCCCTGAAAGAAAGGACCCAGTACTG